TAGAGGGACAGATTTGATTTTTTTCAGCCCTGAAGTGCTTGCAAAAGCACATACTTGTTATGGCAGCAGGAGTTGAATTTGAACATGCGCTTCTGTGTTTTTCCCATTGGGTTTATCTAGTCAGCACGTTGCAGGTATCTGTTTGGTTCACATTCATGTTATTTATGGTAGGCTGATTTTCCTCTGAAGAATTTGTGAGGTTTGTTTTAACCCATTCCAGCCTTTGTGTTTTCTGTGTATAGCATCACTCCCCTTACCTGCTTAAGCTTGGCCAACCAAGCAGCTATGGCTCCAGCACGACACCTAGTCTTGGATTTTGACAGTCTCTGGCCAATTCTCTTAAAGGTCTAAATAAGATTCCAGCCTGCGAACTGCCTTCTGGGAGCGCTGCCTCATAGTTGGTGAAAGCTAATAAAATGCGCCCACATTCTCAGCCCTGAATCATATTTATGCCCCAGCTATAATAGGGTGTGATCTAAAGCACTGTTTACATAGAGTTTTTCAAATGGGATGTATATCTATTCCTTGGCCAGATAACTTCAGCTTCAAGTTGCAGTCTGTCTCATAATTCTCTGGGAATTGATCCAAGAATAAGAGTACAAGTAAACTGTTATGAGGAGAAGGAGGATTGGCAGGCTTCATGAGCATGTGTTACTGACGGAGCACGTCCCAGGCGCAAACAACTCTTTGGATCAGGGCTCAGGGTTCATGAGTGCTTATACTATTTGGTCATGTTTTCCGGCTTGTGCATTGGAAGTAGTATACAGCTTAACTGAGGACAAAATACAGTAAATGTATAGGTTAAAATGCTTTAAAAACTAGCTTGGACATTTGAGCAAGATGTTTCTTTTGATGATAATTGCAGTTCTCAGTATCATTGTCACTAAAGAGAATTTTGCGTTCTTTTTGAGGAGCCTTCTGTTATAATACTGTTTTAACATGTCCTCATCGAATTGTGCTTACCATTTCCTCTGGGGGAATCCCAGATGCCTGGTGCTAAAGGATGTTCTGCTTCTGTAGCTCAAGTGAGGTAATTTAGGTGACCCCTTGAAGTAGCAAGGGGTCAAGTCAACATAAATGTAGACTTCAGCAGCTGAACTTACCCAGATATTTTTGCATTATGATGCAGTTCACTGTTTTTAAAAATGCTTGCAACTTCAAAGAAGGGCAGTACATTCATTCTAAACCTGAAACTTTAGCCAGATTAAAGCAGTACAAATAGATCTTTCTTCATTCCATGCTTTCAACAGGATTAAACCTGATTTTTTTTTGTGTGTTGTATGATGCATGTATTGACTTTAATGGATGTAAAGAGCATTAATCTCTTTTAAAGGAAAGGTTTCACCACAGTGGTGATCCAAACCTGTTGGAGCAATAGTAGCTTCAGACTGTTCAGACTGATGAGATCTATTAGTGTGGGCCAAGAGATTAGTGACAGAAATGCTTAACATAGCACATGTTGAGAGTGTCTGAGATTACTTCCATCTTTAGTCACTCTGTCTCACAAACATGGTTGTTTTTGGATATTGACAGGCTGATATGGTCAAAACATGTCTGCTCCTTGAATGTCATGGTTCTGTTTGTGCTTTAATTTAAACCTAGCTTTTTTTAGCTATAATCTGGAATGTTTACCAGTTTTTGATTATTTTTCATTTTAAAAATACCTCTTCACCAACTGCTTTATGATGGGGTTTATGGTATTTTTAAAAAACACAGGCTTGCCCCCAGCTAACTTGGGAGCGTGTTTTGTCTGTGTGTGTCTGAAATAGGTCAGGCAGGTTTGTTTTCAGCTGTTTATATTTAGCCCTTAATGCCGTTTATTTTTGTGGTGGCACTGATGACACATGCTGGTGAGTTGTGAAAAGAAATTGACCTACTAGATATACTCTGCAGCAGGAGTTTACAGCTACATTTCTAGAGGGCTTGTTTCCAACATATTCAGATTTTTCTGTTTTCTGTTCTGAATTTGATTCATAAAAAATCACTATCTCTATTATAAGTTAAGAATGTATTCTCCTTCTGTGGTAAAATTAGAGTTAAGGAGCAACAATATGTGTCAATGTATTTGATTAACCATTTCCATTCCTTTTCTAATGACAGCCCAGTGTTATTTGTAGTAATCAGCCAAGATCTGATTTGACTAATTATTGATGAATTGATGAATTTGAACAAGTCCTTGTGATGTCTGGGCCTTGAGGAGAAATTTGGAACCAAACTGGAAGCAAGCTCTTATCAACAAATTTTTTAAAAACATTCAGTTCTTGTGACTTTATTTACTGTGTTAAATTTGTGTGCTTTTAATATATTGTTATATTTGGCACCAAAGTTCTGATATTCTTGATATCCATGATTTGCGTGCGTTAAGCCTTAAGTCTTGCTGTTCTTGAAAACAAGCAAAACTGGCAGATTATTCTGACCAAGAGAGAATTGGCATATGATGGCTGTCTGCCAGAATCAGAATTAAGCATTTTTTTGTTCATATGTGACCAACAGTTAACTGATTGAAATGTCATGTGATATGAAGAGTTATTTGGAAAATATTGTGATACTGAATGTTATGAGTATCCCCACTTAAATCTAAGATTGACAGATGAATCTTTAATGGCCTTATACCAAAGTATGAAACACTTAATTCTTAAAACATAATGGTTGTTGGTATAAAATCTTCCCAAGGTGAACCCACATCAGCTTTACCACCTTTATCTTCCTTTAATCTTCAAAACCCCTAATGTGTTCTTGGACTTTCTTTCTGAAAATACAGGCCAACAATACTTGTTTATATAAAGGAACAAAAGAAAGCAGAACATTGTTAGCGATCTAATCTGCTGGTGTAAAATCGTCATTTTGTTCATTTTTGACTCTTTTTCTTGTACAGATCTTGCCTGATTAAGAACTACATGGAATAAAACCAGCATGTTGATTCTTATTGTCCTTTTGTGCTTATGATTTATGATTATATCCGGCTTGACTGCAGCACAGGTGTTTTTTGTTTTTTTTTGAAGTTGACGGATGCCAAAGTACTGTCTGAAGTGGTTGTTAGAGAGAAAGAGAGCACGTGAGAGAGAAAGTGAGGGCAAACTGCAATGAGTCAGTGGAGCAGTCAGATGGCTGGCTTTGGTCAACAGCGTGGCGGATGATGTTATGAATGCACAGAGCATGTATGGGCCTCCTGATGTGTTTGCTAAATGTCAGTGAGGGGTGACTCATACCGCCACATTGCAATGGCAGCTGTGTGGTGGCTGTCGAATAGGATTTTTTAGTGTTGGCACAGCCTGTTGTAATGCGGAGGAGAAGATTGCATCACCTTTCCATCGCAAAAAATGCATCAAAAGTGGAAGAGCGTCTTAAGCCTTGTTTCTTTAAAGAGCCCACAGTATAGAAAACCTAATTTTCCTCAATTCATCAAGCTGATATACTATGTAAATAAAAATGTACCGTTTGTACCACAGTCCCTATATGAAAACTAATATGCAAAGCATGTTTTTTTCAAATCATTGTTTTTGTGATGTCACAAAACAAAGACACATTTTTATATATCAGCTTACAGTAGCTTAGCCCAAGGATTCACGATGAAATTATAAGGAGTGTTTGAATAAGGAACAAAATAACATAACCAATTAGAACAGGCATAGAAACAAAATCTGCTCCGTTGCTATATTCTAAGGCAAAAAAGAAATTGGAGTCAGGATGCCTGATCGGAATCTGCCAAGCTTTTGGATTTTCAATTTTTTGCTCCTAACACACAGTTGGGAATTGGCTAATTACTTACTGTATTATTATTATTTTGTGGTGCAGTTTTATGGCATAAATAATATGAGCCAGGTCAGTGTACTCATTCTCTGTTCGAATGTTATAGCATAATTTTACATGACCTATTGTGCTAAATAGCCTGTTGCTGCTTACTGTCAATGTAGCACTTAATTTATGGGCAAGTGATTTATTGTTTAAAGCAGTATTTGTTAAGATGAATGAATTAGCATTCTTAAATCAGAAGAAAAAAAAAAAAATGAAATGACTTAAAAGTCAGAGGCTCGGGGTTGCATCTTGTGGGAATTTTTCATTCATTCCATTTGCAAATTAACATCACACGTGCAGGCTCATAAGATGGGCCGGCTTGATGTTTAGGTGTGCAAAATCAGTATTATACTGATGAAGATATGATGACAACAGTAGATACTTCCATATACATACTCTGTGGATAATTTACTTGCATCCTTGGAAAAATGTTTGTCTCCAGGGTTTGGACTGAGATCTCTTTGAATCCTCTCAACACGCTCTGCTATTATTGTAATAATTATTATTTTTAACAATAACCTCACACAATTATCATAACTGGACCTCAAGGAGAACAGTAAAATACAACAAAATGTTTGGTTATGGGCACTTTAATGGATCTCTGATGTACATTTATTTTTGTCATTTGGCACCTTTCTTAGCAGTCACAGTATGGCTCATGTATACGTAGGCTGCTTAGTCATTGAGAACAAGATGGGACTGTGACTCACTGGTCGAGGAGAAAGGGGTTAAAGCCTTTAATGAATGCAAATTCAAAGACAAGTGACGTGTGAAATTCCCAGTGAACTGATCTCTCTCTTCCCCCTGTCTCTGTCTCTCCATCTATCCCTCCTGCCCTCTCTCTTAAAGCTCATAGTGGTTAGTAAAAAAGCTTAGTAATAGTGGTTGACCAATGTGGGTAAGAGTTGATATCGATATTGATATTTAGAGAACAGAGTGGCTGATGATTGATATAATGCTGATATTATATTGTTCTTCAGTGCAGCTTGTTTTAAGAAACTATATAGTTTTACAGATTTATTAAACTTGACATTTGCAAAGTAATGTCAGCTGCATTGCTGCGATTTGACCTTCAAATTAAGTTACGCTTATTAGTCCCACAAAGGAGCAAATTTCACCTCCTCATTTTAACCCATCCATACAGTGAAACACCCACATACACACTAGTGAATGTACACACACTAGGGGGCAGTGCGCACACTTACCCGAAACAGCCCTATCCACAGCACCCGGGGAGCAGTTGAGGTTAGGTGCCTTGCTCAAGGGCACTTCAGTCACGTACTGTCAGCTCAGAGGATTGAACCAGCAACCTTCCGGTCATACCTCCAACCCATGACTGCCCCATAAACAAGCCTGTGACCCGTATGGGGAGCGAACCGGTGACCAGATCATGTCTGACTGGAAATAAACTAGAAACACCTATAATTCATGAGAACTCATATTATAGAGTGCTGCAGGCTTGATCAGAGAGCTATGGGGGTACTTGGGACAGATTATAGACTATTAATAGACTAAAACAGCTGCATGAACATATGGGTTTGGATATTCTTGTCATTTAATTACATTTTTTGTTTACATTGATTTGTTGACACTGAGAGCCAGATACTATCATAACATTTTGAATGTATTTAGACTAGCACATGCATAATGTATTTTTTATTCTGTAGTTTGTGATAGGGCACATTTTCATTTGAACCTTATTTCTTTTTTAAAGTTTTATTTGTCTTCCTGTGTTGTCTTCCTTTTTTTTTACTAAAATGAAGAGTGCTATAGAAGTTATGGTTGTTGTTAATTGTTATTGTTATTATTATTACTATTATTATCATTGGGGATGCACCAATGTAAGAACTGTGGGCTTATGCATATATGTAATATGTTTTACGATGCTGATATTAATGTGGCTACATAAACATTTATAAAATGTAGAAATTAAGACTACATCTGACTGGGTTTGCCTTACAGGGACATATAGCATTATTTCGGCATGGTTGCAATTGCAGTAAAAGGAATAAAATGCAGACATTTTAGCTCTGTCACCTAACATTCTGCTGTTCTGGAGTGGAATAAATACATTGTCAAATATTGGTTTAAAATCTTCATCTTTCTGGTGCCAATATATAACCTTTTATTCAAATATCTGCTGTTTGATACTAATTCTGATGTCATTGTGTATCTATTATTATTTTCATTATTATTATCATTATTATTATTATTATTATTATAAAAATCCAACACCCATCACACGACCCAGCCACCACAAAGTACAGCAATTTTAGTATCTTCACATAATGTGGAAAACAGCTGATGACCTCTTTCTTCCTTCTTCTTTAAGGCTCATGGTATTTTTGATTAGTAAATACCAACCCTTATGGAGTGTTTTGGTGGCAAATACTTTTCATGTGGATACACAAATGATCTTCAGGCAATGAATTTTTCCATTCTATTCGAGCGTTGGCTGGTTCAGCTTCTTACCGGACATTAATGAAGTGTGTTGGACAAAGTACATGTGCTCCTTGTGTAATATGAATGGGTGTCTGGGGTCTGGCCTAGTTCTGCAAGGCTGCAATATAGGTGTTCAACAGGGTTCCCTTCTCATGCTCCAGTTCTCTGCACCGCAAACTCTTTCTGCTCTGTTTTTGATGTGATGCATTTTGTCATTGCCAATTGTGTTTCCCTTTCTCTCTTCTAATGGTGATAAACAATTTTTCTATGGCTGTGTGTCTTGGTTTGATGAAAAGGGTTTAAGTCATTGATTCTGTTTAACAGAAGTAATGCTTTGTTTTTTAATAGTCACAGACATGAGTGCTATTAAACGCTGAAATGTGCAGTGAATGTTGTAAAACAGGCCTAAGAGAGAATACTCATGAATTTTCAGTGTTAGTTGCATGTTTGTGTTCTTGGCATTGTTGTGTTCAGACATCACTCGAGGAGGTGAATTTTTTTTAATTACTGGCTTTTTTGTTTGTTTGCTGCTCTTAATGGATCCTCAGAGCTTATGATGGGATGCCTGCTTAGAAAATGATGGAACGTTTGAAGGCTTATTAATTATCCTCATTATTCTTTATTATTTCTTTACCTTGTGAATATTCATTCCCCTGGCTTGTTCTTTGCAACTGTTTAGCACATTGTTGGGTAGGGGGCAAAGTGCAGCAAGCTTACTGTACAACTTGATAATCATTTAGCATTTAGTTCTTTGCCTAAATCTGTTTGTTGCTCTTATACAGAGTTCTCTGCTTACTCAATCCTGATCTCCAGCAGGATTAAGGTACCAGCCTCCAAACACCTTTGTCCCGGATGAACTAGACCTAAAGTTTGCACCAAAGTGTAGAACAACAAACCCATCTGACACTTCCCTGGTTGAGTACTCGCATCAAATAACATCACCTGTGAAAGTAGGAGTTCTGCCAGTCCTGTGAGTGGTCTATTCTCCACACATATGTCCCTATTCAGTACTCTTGGTACTAGGGATGCACCAATATGGGAATTGTATCTATGTATGTATGTATGTATGTATGCTTTATATTTATTTATTTATTTTTAAGTAGGTATCTGATACAGATATGATTCTGATATCTTCATGCATCCCTATGTGATACTCTAGCAAGAAGGGTGAAAATAACGACTATAAATGGGATCATAGATTTGTTACCATGCTATACTATACTGTCTGGTGGAAAAGTGTTATTCATTACTGACATTTTTTGGAGAAACAAGTTTCTAAACAGATTTTGGCTTAGGTGTATGTTTCTAGGAAAAGGCTTTAATTAGTGAAGAACCATTGCATTATGAACTAAGAAGGTTCTTTATACTCTCACATCTCATCCCTTCCATTGCGTGTTTTTTGTGGAAACCAAAAGTTCTTTTGTGGCATAGTTTGAAAGCCTTTTTGGTGGTTTCATTTTTGAGAGTGTAGGTGGAAGGCAGAGCTTTACAGAATCCATACTCTGTGCTCAGCTCTGCTGACGTAAGGGTCTTCCACGGACGGAGGAGGGGCAGAATCAGACTCTGCGTGTTTGTGTATGACAGAGGAGGGAGAACGAGCTGTAGGGTGAGAGAGAGAGAGGGGATGTGCAGGATGGGAGGGGAAAAGAGCCATTGTCCAGCCTCCTGAGCTCTCCACAGGCAGCTAGCTGATGGTTTCATCTGACAGCTCGGGGTGGAAGTTAAAGGACTGAAAAACCAGGGGCTTCCCCCCTACCCCCCTCCTTTCCACTCAGTGTTGCTGTGAGTGGGTTGAAGCTCTGTTCCTCCGCAGTAGAGTCTGCCTTTTTGGCTCTTTGTCAGCACATGAAGGTTGTAAGGTAGGCAGGCAAAGGGGGGAAAATATCATGTGCACAATAGAGCGAGCGAGTGCAGCGCAGCAGCCATGAAAGCCCAGCGAGAGAGGCTGAGGATTCCAGGGCTGACACTGGAGTGAGTATTTTCTCTCTATGGTTTTCCCTGTCTCTCCTTGTTTGTCTGCGTCGTTTCATCTAATGGCAGTGGCAGACATCTTCATTTATGCGCAGTGTCCCTGCTGTCACCGTAATCCGAGCAGTGCAGCGTTACCACAGTAGCAGCTTCTGCAGCATGTGTTAGGAGGTAAATACAGCAAGGCTAGCCAGTGCTAGCATAGCACCAGCCAGGGTGTGCTGGCTCATGATGTTGGTAGCAGTCTTATGCCGGTCTGAGAACAGTTTTGTGTTCTTCACTGTAACAGCTAAGGCTAAAGCTTGGGTAGGGGACACTGATCTTGGATCAGTGCTAAAGGGCAGTTGCCCAGAGCGTAGCTGGTCAGTCTGGAGCTGAGGGGACTGCAGCAGCTGTCCAACCTGCCAGTCTGCTTGTGTATTTAGATACGACAAAATACTACTCCACAATTAAGGCTTTTCAGCAATGACAATCACATGAAATGCCTTAATTGCCCTTTTGGAGATTTAGTTTGTTTAGTAGCGTAGTCCACCATATTACTGAAGCATCTACAGCATAGGTGCCAATGTAAAAACAAACAATCACTCTGCATATTTGCAGCATGTCCTCTGTTACATGTGAAGGAGATTGTATTGTTTTTGATGAGATATAAAGATATCTGATTTTATGCATAAAGGTTACAGGAGACACAAGTTTATGTCGCATCACAGCTGGTCTTGCTAAGGACATGATCCATGCTTCTCTCCCGACATGTCAGTTCAGCAGTTTCAGCTGATGTGATTGGTTTAATTTGCTCATCAATAGACACATGGGCTCTGCATCACCAGGCATCCATTTACAGATTCAAGCAAGGCCTTTATCAAAACACACGCATACACTGTAGTGATGAGATTTCAGGGGGACATGTTGCAATGTTTGTTTGGAACAGTTGCTCTGTATTGTGTTGCATGATGACTGAAACTTTGATATATATAGATTCTAACAAAGACCTGACCATGGTTATATCTAGACCTTGAGTTTAGTTTTTGCTGATGTTTAATGCTAAGGACATAATAGAATCTGATAGTTGGCAATTGACAATTTATAACTATATGATTTTTAAATAGATTTGTGAAGTGTTAAATAATAGATAAACACAAAAAATAAAGGTGCCAAAAGGTTTCTTTGGATCCTGTAGAAGAACTGCTTTTCTCCTCTGACAAACAATGGATGCATGGTTTTTTAAAGGACTATTCTAGCTTTTTTCAGCATAATCTCTGTTGACTTCATCTGTAGCATACCATTACCTATTTATTACCATGGACAGTGTCCACTCCATGCTGCTGTTCATTTTGCTGTAACAGAAAACCTGTTAACACACTGCCCAGTCTATTACAAATTTGTTTTGAGTCATATTTTTTTTTAATAATAAGGGTTGAAAATATTGTCTGTGGTAAGCGATCACGCACTACAGATGTGATGGAGAGAGAGATTAGGTTGAGAACGCTGGGACATTTCTTTAAAGAACTATCCAGTGAAAAGCTCTTTAGTTAACCAGTTAGTTAACCAGTGGAATTGACTTTCAGGCCCTGGATTTTGTAGACATGAAACTAGGTGGCCAATCAGTTAACATTAACAGGTCAGTTAACTATCAGTAACTACAAAATACTAGATTGAGAACTGGATTCAAACTTCAGATTTAAAGACCTCTATACTAGTGATGCAGGGAAATGAAAAATCTTGGTTGAAGCCAAAAACTATCAATGGACAAAAACAGTTTACATGAAAAAAACATGAAATAAATAATTACAGTATATAGGCTACAGTACGTGCTACAAAATCAACTGTCCTTGACAACAGAGAATGGTTGTTAATTCATCCAAGGCAGCGAAGTAAGCTCACAGCATCTTTCTTTTCTGCTCCTTTTTTTTTTGCTGTGTTCTGTGCATCAAGTTGCTGCATGTGTACCCCCATCTTGATACTAGGCACAAACAGTGATTAGACATTCTTTGTCTAACGTCCCTTATAGAATCTCAGATTGCTCGGACTGTTTAAACACAGATTGGAAAGAAAACAGCATTTTCACTATTTTTCATTATTGTTCAAATTATTTGTAAAGTTGTTTTCATTCAAAAAATTCAGTCGTTTTTCTTTCAGCTAACAACTTAAAGTGCCTTTTTTAAACCAATTTGCTTGAAAACATCCTTTTGATACCTTTATTTTACAAAAATTTTGACTGAGTGGATGTCATTGTAAGATTATTTTCATAACATCACTACGTCATTATACAATGTAGTTGGTCAGTGCTTGTGAACTGTTTTATGTCTAGTGTACCTTTTGGAGATGTGGCAAATCTATAGGTAAAAATTCCACAAAGGGTCAGTGCTGCTGTGGTTAGCTCTTTCCATAAAACCATTTGTTGGCCTTTGCTTGGAGAAATTTGTCACGCATGAATCTGCTCTGTGGTAATGTCTGCCACTGCAGCCATGTCTCTATATCTGTGTGCGTGTCGAGTATATAAACACATTGTATGTAACTGTCCTCAGCATCAAAGACTTTGCATGACAGATGCTGTATGGGCCATGTGGTTATGCTTCAGGATCAGCATTTATGAAACTCAATTTGACTTCCAGCCTCACTCCAAGAAGCTTGAGCCCGACTCCCACAAGCCCTTGCAGCCCATGCAGCCCGCTGCACGCCTTCCATTTTTGGAGGTAAGACCGCTGCTTCTTTGACATAGCCATTTTGTTTTTTTTCGGGAGCTGAAAAGGGTCGAGTGAGGCTTCACGCTCCACTGTTGAAGATTAAGCCAATGTCACAGGTGTGGATTTTTGTGATCAAAAGGGCACAGGGTCTCCCTTTTAATATCAGTTTTGATTTTACCCCAAATCCAAAGCCTTTGTATGATATTTGATAGAAAGACTAAGTGTGCTTATATAATGTTCTTAGATACAGCCCCCCTCCCCCATCCCCTTTTGCCGAGCTTCTCTTTCACCCCTCTTTAAAGTGCAAAATAGGATTTTGTGGCTGAATGTCTGCAGTATTCAAATATGTGTAGGAAACCAGGTCAATTCCAATCTGAATGTGAACTGTTTGGAAAAGCGTTTCTAAAAGGCACTCGTTGTTAAAAATCATGAAATAAAGATAATATGTTTTTCTATAAAGTGAAATGAGTGAAGTCTCATTTCATTTCTTGAAAACCAGATGAAATGTGACTATATTTGACAAAGGTTTCTTTAAGTTAATGCTGCACAGTTTTCTTGATCAAATGTATGTGTCATTATTTGAGTGTTTTGCTTCTCTGCGTCATCAGTGTTCGATTTTGATTTTGTGAAGTCTTATTTTTCAGGTCATAACTTGGTGCCCTGTCCTAGAATCCCACATAGCGTATCTCTTTTGCTCTCTCTCGCTTTCTCTCTCCACCACTCCCTTTCTCTCCCTCTCTCCCCTTCCTCTCAGCAACACAGTCAGTCAGGCTTTGTTCCTCAAGTATGTATCTTTGGCCTTGTAAATGAAATGGGTCATTGAGCTTGATGCGTTTTGTATTTAAACCAGTATGATTAGTCCATGTTTACACATAATGGCCTGCCTCCAATGAGCTTTGATGTAGGAACAGTAAATTACTGTTATTGGGAGATCTAAAGTAAAGCTTGTCTTAGACTATGATTGCACAAATTCGTGAATAAGTTTAAACAGCATCTCCAGAGGCAAATTAAGAAGGTAGAATGTTAGACTAAACAATGCCAATCCCATTTCACCCCTTGCCCCTACCACTTAGCCCTTAGCCCTCTGTTTTGTGCGTTCATGTCTACGGTTAGGGTGTCCCAATTTTTGTTGAGATAGAGGGCTAGGGTTGGGCTATATGCCCCCCCAAACGGAGTGTTATGAGGAAAAAAAAGAAAAACCGGCAAGATGCCTGCGCGAGCTACCAAAGATTTCAACCACTACCCCTTGTAACTTAGTTCCAAGGTGTTAGGGGGACACTCAAAAACAAGGGGTAGGGGTTGAAAAAAAAGACATGGGATGGCCTTAATCTCTTGTCGAATCTTGAGTTTTACATCTGTGCAGAGAGGTGATTATGACACTGTACTTTCACCAACATGCTTAAGCAGTTGGCAGTTAACAAGAACTCTGTTCAGGATTGTACCAGTATCTATTTTTTCACAGCCAATACTGCATACAAGGTCCAAATGACAGTAGCTGTAGATACAGATACTGCTTGTCTTGTTTTTTTTTTTTAATTGTGTACTTTCCCCCAGCATTTAAACATGAGCCTTTGTTTTATTTCCTGTTTATAACTTTCTAACTAAAAATACTTTTAAGGGAGGTTACTTTGTGAGAATAATTAAATTATGATACTCGTTATGGACTTGAGTGTACTGCGTTATGGGTTGTTTTTAACTATGGTCTATAACTAACTACTATAACTAACTACTATTTTAGTATCTGAGTTTGTTTCCTGAAACCTTCTCATACTGTTAGATTACATGGCAAATACTACATAAGCACATCTACAGTCCTGTATTGTCATATTAGTATTGTTCTCAGTAACAGAAAGCAGCACTGAAATTTTATTGACTGTTATTCGGGACTTAGTTGAAAGAAGTCATCAAGGCAATGCACTGATGTAACCTGCAATTCAGTGAGCAACCTGATTTAGACCTCTAGTGGTGCCTTTGATTCATCCTCTCTTAATGGGAACAGTATAAACGGAGCACACCCAAATCTAGAGCACAGGCTGCCACATCGGACCCTTTGGGACCCAGCAAGCGAAGAAAGAGGTTATGGCTGGTTTGTTCCTAATGTCAGCAAAGTTTTTGAATCAAGATCTCATAAGTCACTGGTCTAGCAGGAAAAGATAAGGGTGACGCTGTCATGAGACTCAGGCGGGATTATGTTTTTTAGCCTGGACTTTGCTCTCCATGTTGGGAGAATGGGCGTGTATGTATGTTTTGTAATCAGTGTGTTCCTTATGATTGTATTCATGTTGTTGGCATTCCCCGGAAAACCTGGTTAGCGTTAGCTGCTGCTGGAATTGTCAGGTGAGTCTGCACCGTGTAACAGGATACTGGCTGAGGTCATTGTTTACGCCCTATTCTCTCAGGCTTGTGGCTACATGCCTCCCAGCCCCACAGCCTGACTCCTCTCAGCCTGCTTTGACTCAAGCTCCAGCAGCCCATAGCTTCTCTTTGTTTTCAGTAGCTAATTGTCAGGCCCAAAGCGGCCTCATCCCACCCCAGACGTCATCTGTCAGGGAGGTCAAGCCACTCTTGGGGCCTCCTTGCCAAATGACCAGATTGGAGACCAGAAGAAAGTAGGGGATCAAAGGTGCTGAAGTGGAAGATAGGTGGTAGTGTTCACTTGGGCAATGCTGATTAAAGAAGGTGGGGGGTTAGATGGACAATAAGAGACTTGGACCTCTTTAGGTGGAGATAACCATTGAAAAGCTGTGGATTTCCATTTCAAACAAGGCTTCAGAGTGGCACTGGAGAAGGTCCAGTCATGGAATACATTCACTGTGCGACGTCTGCTGATGATGCAGTGCTGCTCTGACTCACGCGCCCCTCCTTCCCTGCCCTTCCCCTCCCTTCATTCAAGTCCCCCCTGCTCAGAATGTGAAGTGGTAGATGCCTGTTACATGATATGGAGCATGTTTGAGCTCACTGAGTATGTGGGATAGAAGCGGAGCAGCAAGACTTTATCAGGGAAACAAAAGTCTCCTACTGGAACTGGTCCTATCCTCGTGTCCCAGAGGCAAGCACTGTGCGTGAGGGATACTGATTATGCCCTCAATAGGAAAGTGGTGCAGAGAAGCTTTCTCTCTCTCTCTTTCTTGCCTCACTCAATTTTAGGACACTTCAAAGGACACACTGTCCCTTCTGACAGCCCGTGTATGCTGCTGCTGCCTCCAGATGTGCCTGGACATATCTCTGCAAGCTCGGAATGTTGCTGCTTTGCTGCTTTGTTGAGAGAAGGACCAGCGACTCTTGTGGTGGATGTGTGCTTGCCCATGCGAAGCCAGACATTTTTCCTCACCTAGTTTTCTGAGGCAGACCTTTTTGGTGGCATGACTTTGGGACCATGTCTGACTCTAGCTTGTGGACTGTCCTATCTAACTTCTCCATGCCTCATTTTCTTAGTGGATCCAGACTCCGACGCTCGAAAAGGTAACCAAGGGTGTGCTTTGCAAACAAGAACAATACTGTAAGATGGGTGCTACTTTTTTCTATTGTGTTGAATTTCCTCTGAGTGCACAGTGAGGAGATTTTGATTGTAATCAAGATATCATTGTTTGGTCCACACAGCGCATACAAAAGATGTTTACATCTGCAGTGTAATTACTTAGCATCTGTACTTCAGAACTGAAAGTGAATCATGGGTAAGGAAAACTGATTGTTCTTGATATCAGTTCTCTTGTTGTCATGTAGCTGTAGTTCACTGCTTGCAATGTATGACTTGAAGAATGTTAGATGTATACTTTCTATGAGACTGAAATTTTATGACCAAGCTGGATGCTTGCAGTTCTGTGTTAGCAAGCACAGTAATGGCATTTGTTTTGCTGTTTTGTCCTCTTACTCCTTTTTTAATCTGTGGAATGACCCATTTTATAGTTCAGCAGGGTTTACATGGGATTAATTTGTGCGTACATAAACACAATGTTCAGTGCATTCATCTGACATTTTCTCCAAAGACTTCTCTGTTTTTTTGGATGAAGAGTTAACATTTGGTCTGTTATGTGTATTAGTGAGCATCTGACAACAATCCAGTTGTCACTTGCCATGTTACTTGCTCTTTAACTTTCATCATCAAAAACCATATGACATCATTGAGTTCTATAGGTTTTTGTCCTATTTTTGTTGTCTTGGCCCAAGAGAGACATTATTTTATAGTGCATAAGATGCTTTTTTATTATTAGTAGTGATGTACGATGATACTTTAATCATGTCGGTATTCACAGGTATTTATCAGATGTTTAGATTTGGCTGATATTTCAATATGATTTTTGATGGCGTATTTATTGTATTCTTCAAGAGCAGAACGTTTAGGCGACACTACTGAGCTAAAACATCTGCATTTTATTTATCAATGCTAATCCAGGTAGGTGTAATGCCAATTTTTACAATATATAAATGCATATGCATCAGCATTGGAAGGTATTTACATGATATAAAATATTGGATATCTGGATAAGCCCACGTTTCCCTAAAAATTTTTAAATATTAGGATTACAGGTTAATATTGGTTGTACATCTCTGCCATCATGCAGAATAGTTAGGGAAAAAAAGTATAAGATTCTATAAACGATAGAAACAAAATTCCTAACACTGATATTACATTGAAATTAATTGAACCTATCACATAATTTCTCAAGTTTAACCAGAGCTAGCTTTGGGAATAATCTCCATCTCCTTTTTCTTTTCTTTCTTCTGCCTTTCACTGGAGGGTCAGTATTACAGCTGATGTCAGTTCACCTAAGCCTCCTTTCTTAAATGGAGAGGAAAAATATTTTATGCCTTGTTGACATAGGATTAGGTAAGAGAAATTTGAGGCTGCTTGTAAAGACATTTTTTTTAAACAAGTCTGTTTTTGCCAAAGTCATTTGTAAATACATGTGCATGGAAATGTTCCATTTCTTTGTTGAATGGAGAAAATGATCTGGTGCAGGCTCAGCTTTTCATGACCAGCGCGTACAGGGATTATATCGGCAGTCCTG